CAGCTGTGGCTACAATAGTACCTTACCATTGAGTGTGGAGTGAATCAATAATACACAAATAGGTAGTGTTGTTGAGCATTTGTAAAAGCAATATAAGACTAATGCATTATTATTATTATTACTATTACTGCGTGTTGTTTGGGTTTTTTTTACATTTTGAGTCTTAAAGCCAAAACCTCTACAGAGCTCACACACATTATTGCACTTTACTTCCAGTAATACGTGCAAGGGAGAGTTTGTTGATATTATTAGTTGGGCATTCTTCATAAATTACAAAATATCATACAAGAGTTAAAACAAAAAGCAGCTGCTGACCCATGAATGCAACCCTCACACCATGAGCCCGTACCGCAGTCGGGTTCAAGTTGTGCAAGAGACTGTGGTTTGGTATATTAAGATGTGTAATAAAGTAATGCCAATGCCATTTATTGTAATTATAAATGTAAATCAATGTTAAACAGTGAGTTGAATGAGAGTGGACCTCCCCAAACATCCAAGAGTGTGGAACTAAATGTACAACAATAGAATAAGGGCTCTTCAACATGAAGTGCAAGTTTTACATGTCCTGAAAACTTAGTGTGCCACATGATCACATGTGTGCTCCAAAATTTTAGAAGAATTTGTGATTCACTTAACAGAGTTGTTGGTGAAATTGATGGTGAAAATGACTTAAAATTAATAAACAAAATAAAAGGATGATTTTTCATATAAACGTTATGGTTTCTGTCATAGTGCATTGTAGATAATACTTCAACATTGGGAGTGAAGATGCTTCTGTACCCACAGATTAATCCTCTACTTCTGAGCAGAAAGGTTTAATTGCAAGTATGCATGGATAATAGTAAAAGAAATGGTCCTATTTTCTAATTCAAGAAGGACACTTGGACATTCTTCTGTCAGTATAATAACAAAATGTGATTTACAGTTAATATGAAGTCATTACTGTTTAATAGTATGTAACATGTGATCCATAGAGAAGGTATAGGAGGCCTATGTACCATGTTGTATCCCAGCCAGTGTGTGCGTGCGACGGCGTCCTCAGTCTCTCTTCCCCTCCCTCTGGCTCTCAGCGCTCTATAGGCACGCCAGCACCTCCAGGTCCAGAGAGCACAGCATTCTGGGGGATCAGAAACAGATGTGCCGGCTGCCCTGCTTTTCTTAACTTACACACACACACACACACATTTAAATTAGCTACACACACACAGTTCTAAATGCTGGCAGTGATTCAGAACTGGACCGAGAGCCAGTGGGCCAGTCTGACCCTGAGCTTGACCCCAGCCCGCAGCAACTCAGACAGGAAAGGGACGCAATTGGCTTCAGCTGTGACCCCAGGCCTGCGCTCTCCTGGCTGCCCCCCTCACTCATTAAGACAAACTGTTTTTAAAGGCAAAGCAGCTTTCACTAGCACTAAAGCCAACACCCCGGAGCACGGAGAGGGGCGACCAGGGGAAAAGGAAGGTGCAGGAATGAGTAACAATTACAGAAAGAGCAATGGGGTACAAAAGAGGTATTAAGAAAAGAACAGAAGATCAAGGTATAAAGGAAAAAGTTAGTGGCCGATACCAGACAGACTGTAGTGGGGAGACTCAGGGATATCACTTGCAGCTGTTACAGACTCCTTACTTTCCCAGAATCCTTAGCAACTTGGCATAGGTTTTGCAATAAGAAAAGGGCGGTGTCATGGTTACATCCATATCAAACATCCACAACACCAGCTTTGAATAAGAAGGCAATGAAGTCACTTTCTAATAATGACAATTAAAGCTGTGTAATTATGAAGAGCACTGAGTGAGCCGCATTGGTCATGGAGACAGACTAAGTGTACAAACAACATATTTGTTTATTTAGGGTGAAGTGCATTTGACATATGGAAATAATTGCCATCTATAAAAAAGAATCCCCCCTTTTATTTGCAATGTGTTTGTCATTCTTTTAATCCATCAATACCACATTTTTCTTCCAGTGTCTCCCTCAACAGTGGATACTAGTGTTCAGACACAGTGGAAAAGTCTATGTGTCTGCAAAACTGCTGAAAACATTTGCATATTTCATGTTTGGCAAGCTGCAACGACAAAAACTGAAGTAAAAGTAAAGAAAACAAACTACGCAGGTCTACCGTACATGTGTATAAATGAGAGTGGCAGGGCATGCTGAGGTAGATTAATGCCACTGTGCAACCATTCAAGACTGACTGATGTGCGTCCCAAATTGATTTATGAAAACGGCCCTTAATCAATTATGTGTGGAGAAAAGGGGAGAAAAGAGAGGAGGGAGTGGGGAGATCGCAGGGGGGTTGAGTGGGACATAAAGGGTGCATGGATAGGACCAAGCGCAGGAGTTTGAATGATGCTGCTTTGCTCAGGAATGTGTCAAAAGCACATCAACTCATGCCACAGGTGTCCGGCATGGAGGATGTGAAGCTCTGTCAGAAATACACAATACAGTGAATCTGATACTGATATATGCAGCCAAGTGTATGGGCTACACACTGTGCAAGCTACATCGCTGGCATCCATCTTCATGTACTGGACTGAAAGCACTGCTGTTCTCCAATATAGGACTCATTTGTCCCACTTAAGAAGGCCTACATGATATTTGCGAGTGGACTTTAAGAGTGATGTGGTGTGGTCATAGTAGTGGTTGATTTTTGGAGGGGAGCAGTGGAGTAGAGCAAAGCTGTAGTTTAAAAAGCCCTGGCCCTGCATTGCCTTTGTACCGGAGACAAGGCTGCACGGGGGAAGTGGAGGGTCACGCTGAGAGCTCGTTTCTCCTGCCTGTCAGTGCTCTATCTGAGATCCAGCCGGAACTAATCAACTCCAATAGGTCTCCCCATTACCCAGGGTGCACTGGACCGGGGGCTGGGGGCTGGGGGCTGGTCCCTCTCCTCCTCCTGCACTTCTCCTCTATCCTCTGCATACTTACATGCCCGCGCAGCACACAACGCTCCCACTGTTTCACACCAAAGCAATAATAAACACTTGCAATAATATTTTCACAGCAAGCAACAGCCTGCTTCAGATCAGAGCCTTGTGCAGCTGTGGACTGGACTCAAGGGCACGGGCACCCCTCGCATGGACACAGGCAGACCCCCTCACACACACACACATCCCGGGTGCATACTTAATCCACAAAATACTGCAACAAACAAGTACAGCCTAAAGTAAACAAACGTGACTGAAGCTTGTGTAGTGTTAAATCAACCCCACTTCCCAATAGTGGACTTTATTTATTTGATGTTTCACAGTTTGTCATACTCAGTTTACTGGGCATAACACTCCTGAAATATGACTGTAACAAGCACAAAGTAGTGCCCCCTATTGGCTATTGGATGTCACCATGCACTAATTTTTAAATGTACTTCAGTTTAGTTAACTTACTTAATGAGGCAGTGTGAAGTATCCTAACAGAGAGTTGCATTCTATCATTGAAGTCCCTGAACAGGCTGATATTAAGTTCATAAAATCAAACATTTAAGGAAAATTAAACTTCAATGATCACCAGACCATCATTAAAGTTGTGTGCAAACAAGTATTAACAAGTAATTCATTCATACCCCGATAGTGTTATTTATATATACTGATAATATAACACCTACATCAGGGATCAGCATCCAAGCTGATGTCCACTTTGCTCCAGTGTGTGCAGAGGCATTAGTGTGTGTGTTTTTCTGAGTGATTTTAGCCTCCTCCACAAAGGTGAAGTGGGGGCAAATTTAAATAAGTAAAGAAAACTGCCCCTCCTCCAACTGCACCTACGTTTAACCTGATACTTTCTATAACTTAGAATTTCCTCATAATAATCATGCAATATCCTTACAGGTTTAAACTTTATGTAGACATTTTACATTCTAGTTTTGATGTGCATGGATTTAAATAACTGTATATGACTATAGCAGAGGTCTTTTTTTTAGATAATCACATGGGAAACTCAGGCTGGAGGGTTAGCATTGAGAGGCATTGGGGTAGGGTTAATCCCCATTCAGTCCGTCCTTCACTGGGTGTAGAGGGGTACAATAAGCCCCCCTCCTTCCCAAAATGTCCCGGCGACCTTTGACCCCACATTTACGGCCGCTGTCCCAAGACCCTTTATGCCCTGGTCCTGTTATTATCTGCAATATTTACTCCTTTTGATTTTTCTACTGACCATTGTAGTTGCCCACACCACTGGCAAGAAGGCTTAAGGGCTCTCTTCACCACTTCAGCGTCACCTCTCAACTATAGATACTAAAGAAAACAAACAACAGAAGAAATGTAAAGCTGTGGTCAATGAGGGCCCTAAACCAAATGGAAGATATAGGCTTGTGAATCATGTTTGCAGACTAGAATCAGAAATTTGTTTGCAATAACAATTGTGTAATGTAAATACAATCCAATACTGTCCTGGTTTGAGCATGAAAAAACACATATTACACATAGTATTACTATATGTGGCCTCTTCAGCATTGCATTAAAATAAATGATGTATTATTGAATAATTTTCAAGTTTAAATTATCAGCAAAGTTTGACTATTTACAGTGGAAAATTGCCTTGTCCTTTGTTTGTTTAACTTTAGTTCAAGAGGATTAAGATTAAATGCTGATAATTTAAACTAGCTGCAGTGCTGCACACAGTTGAACAGGTTCTGTCCTGCTGGGTCACAGGCTCTCACAAATGGCTCTTTGTTGCCACCTGCTGACACAGGACAGAAACAAAGATAAATACTCGAAGGTGAAACGAGTAAGTGCTAACACACAAACCTAAGCTTTATGTTTTTTAGCCCTTTACCATGTCTGTTTTTAAAAGGAAAATAAAGAGTTGAAACAAAACGCCAAACAAGGTAAAACAAAATTATACAGAAATAAAAAGGATTAATCTACTGAGGGTAATGAGAGTAGTAACAGGAGATTTTGCTAATAGGAAATCTGCTGAGATCATTGAGGAAAAAAAAAAGACATTATTTGAGTAAAATTGCACTTTTTCATTTGACTTAACCACAAGAAACAGTATGAATAGTTTAAAATATTTATTTCAGAGTAAAAAGATATATCCAGATAAAACAAATCCCAGTGTCAGTTTGTACATTCAAACTTTGCCTCTTGTCATCTGAGGTGTGTTGACAGGGAAAACCAGCCCTCCGGTGAGCTCTGCTTCTCATACTGCTATAAATTATCATATTTCTTAATAATTGTACAAACATATTTGGAAATGTTCAGTAAAAACTTACAAACCTTTGTTCCTTTGTCACTGACTTTGCTTCTGAGACTTTGAGAAGGTGATGGTTCATTAGAAGCAGCCCTGAATCATATTGTAAATTTGAAGGTTAAATGTAATATATGAAATATATAAGAAAATATAATATAATTACTCATTGACCTCTTTACCTATTTTATTATTATTTTAAATATTTGAGGTTAACGACTCACTGTTTTTTCTGCAGTATGGGCTCCTGCAGCAGAGAGATTTCTGAACTTGCTCTATGATCTAAACACACAAAGCATAATCAGCCTCATCACCACAGAAACGGTATATTGTACATCTGGTAGTTACGCTTTACCTGAAACAGGACCAACATCTGAGTGTAGGAGAGGGGACACAGAAGGGGACAGTTTGGCTGATGTTATGTGTTTTTGTTGGTCAATAATCTCAAGTAATCGAGTCCTGGCTGCCGCACTTTGTCTGTTCAACTCCAGGAGGCGCTGTTCCACACTACTCATATTGAGGACACTAGTCTCTGCCTATAGGAAACAATATTTCAAGTTCTGCATTATGTATTAAGTTAATTCACTGTAATTACATTGAGCACACCTGTTGTTCACTTTCAATTGACTGTGTGAACTTTGCAGTACTGGACTCAGGCCCCTTTCGGCCTGCTGCACTGTGAGGTGAGCCTTTGCTTCCACAGCTCAAGCGTCTCTCCTCCAGGTAACTGTTGCTCGGAGATGCTCTCTGATTTTGGGTCTGACTCAGCTCTGCTTTGATCAGCTCGTTCTGTTGACTGAGCTGAGCGATCTTTTCCATCATGACCTCTGCGGACAGATTGGAGCTCAGAGACAAAAGTGAGACTGATATGGAGGGCAAGCTGGTGAAGTCTGAACCAAGAGTTTTGATACTTTCAGAAGAACACGACAGCTGAGGGTGAATAGGATGAGAGTCCACTAAAGAGGAATTTATAGAACATTACATTTTGTATGTTTCTGGTGAACAGTATAAGAATAAGTTCATATGAAAAGACCAAAGTCTTTACCTGCTACATGTGACCAGTGGTCTGTTTGTCGAGGGGGTGAGAGCAGTACCACGGGTGTCGATTGTGGGACATCATCTCGCTCAGCAACTAGAGATGGTATTACAGTAAAACATTTGGCAAATGTATAGTGAAAAAGTAACTACACTTGCTATTAAAATATCTTAGTTGTACTCTACCTTTATAAACTTATATATGATAGTATTTCCTCCCCCCTGAACTGCCACCTTACCGTGGTGGGGGAGTTTGTGTACCCGAATGATCCTAGGAGCTATGTTGCCCGGGGCATTACGCCCCTGGTAGGGTCTCCCATGGCAAACAGGTCCTAGGTGACGGGGCAGACTAAGAGCAGTTCACAGAACCCCAATGTACAGTTTAAAATCGAGGACCGTGACGTCGCCCGGTGTGGCGCAGCCGGGGCCCCACCCTGGAGCCAGGCCTGGGGTTGGGGCTCGAATGCAAGCGCCTGGTGGCCGGGCTCAGCCTGAAAGGACGACGTGGGTCTACCCTGCTGTGGGCTCACCACCCGCTGAGGGGTTCATAGGGGTCGGGTGCATAGAGGACTGGGCGGCCGACGGGGACGGGTGTCTCGACGGTCTGGTCCGCACACACAGCATCTGGCTGTGGCAACGTGGAACGTCACCTCGCTGGGAGCTCGGTCGAGAGATACCGGCTAGATATAGTCGGGCTCACTTCTACGCACAGCTTGGGCTCTGATACCCAACTCCTTGAAGGGGGATGGACCCTCCATTTCTCTGGCGTTGCCCACGGGGAGCGGCGGCGAGCTGGTGTGGGCTTGCTTATAGCCCCACAGCTCAGCCGCCACGTCTTGGAGTTCACCCCAGTGAACGAGAGGGTCGTGTCCCTGCGCCTTCGGGTCGGGGACAGGTCTCTCACTGTTGTGTCGGCCTACGGGCCGAACAGCAGTGTAGAGTACCCAGCCTTCTTGGAGTCCCTGGGAGGGGTACTGGACAGTGCACCGACTGGGGACTCCGTTGTTCTACTGGGGGACTTCAACGCCCACGTGGGCAACGCCAGTGACACCTGGAGAGGGGTGGGAAGGAACGGCCTCCCTGATCTGAACCCGAGCGGTGTTTTGTTATTGGACTTCTGTGCTAGTCACAGTTTGTCCATAACAAACACCATGTTCGAGCACAAGGATGTCCATAAGTGCACGTGGCAACCAGGACACCCTAGGCCGGAGGTCGATGATCGACTTTGTCGTCGTGTCATCTGACCTCAGGTCGCGTGTCTTGGACACTCGGGTGAAGAGAGGGGCTGAGCTGTCAACCGATCACCACCTGGTTGTGAGTTGGATCCCTGGCAGAGGAGGAAGCCGAAGGGACCTGGCAGGCCCAAACGTATTGTGAGGGTCTGTTGGGAACGTCTGGCAGAGCCCTCTGTCAGAGGAATGTGCCCGCTCGTAGCTGTGGGCGTAAGGTCTGTGGTGCCTTTCGCGGCGGCAATCCCCGAACCCGGTGGTGGACACTGGAAGTGAGGGATGCCGTCAAGCTGAAGAAGGAGTCCTATCGGGCCTTGTTGGCTCATGGGACTCCTGAGGCAGCTGACGGGTACCGGCGGGCCAAGCGTGTTGCAGCTTGTGGGGTCGCAGAGGCAAAAACTCTGAGCTGGGAGGAGTTCGTGGAGACCATGGAGAAGGACTATCGGATGGCCTCAAAGAAATTCTGGCAAACCGTCCGACGCCTCAGGAGGGGGAAGCAGTTCTTTACCAACACTGTTTACAGTGCGGGGGGAGCTGTTGACCTCGACTGGGGACATTGTCGGGTGGTGGAAGGAATACTTTGAGGATCTCCTCAATCCCACCGTCACGTCTTCCGAGGAGGAAGCAGAGGCTGGGGACTCAGAGGCGGACTCGTCCATCACCCTGGCTGAAGTCAATGAGGTGGTTGGCAAGCTCCTTGGTGGCAAGGCTCCGGGGGTGGACGAGATCCGTCCTGAGTATCTTAAGTCTCTGGATGTTGTGGGGCTGTCTTGGTTGACACGCCTCTGCAACATCGCATGGCGATCGGGGACAGTACCTCTGGACTGGCAAACCGGGGTGGTGGTCCCTCTGTATAAGAAGGGGGACCGGAGGGTGTGTTCCAACTACAGGGGAATCACACTCCTCAGCCTTCCCGGTAAGGTCTATGCCAGGGTACTGGAGAGGAGAATCCAGCCGATAGTCGAACCTCGGATTCAGGAGGAGCAGTGTGGTTTTCGTCCTGGCCGTGGAACACTGGACCAGCTCTACACACTCCATCGGTTGCTCGAGGGTTCATGGGAGTTCGCCCAACCAGTCCACATGTGCTTTGTGGATCTGGAGAAGGCATTCGACCGTGTCCCTCGTGGTGTCCTGTGGGGGGTGCTCTGGGAGTATGGGCTGTTCGGTCCCTGTATGACCGGAGCAGGAGCTGTGTTCGCATTGCCGGCAGTAAGTCAAACCTGTTCCCAGTGCATGTTGGACTCCGCCAGGGCTGCCCTTTGTCACTGGTTCTGTTCACTGTGTTTATGGACAGAATTTCTAGGCGAAGCCAGGGGCCGGAGGGGGTCCGGTTTGGGGACCACAGGATCTCATCTCTGCTGTTCGCAGATGATGTTGTCCTGATGGCTCCATCAAACCAGGACCTGCAATGTGCACTGGGGAGGTTTGCAGCTGAGTGTGAAGCGGCTGGGATGAAGATCAGCTCCTCCAAATCCGAGGCCATGGTCCTCGACCGGAAAAAGGTGGCTTGCCCTCTCTGGGTGGGTGGAGAGTCCCTGCCTCAAGTGGAGGAGTTCAAGTATCTCGGGGTCTTGTTCACGAGGGAGGGGAGGATGGAACGTGAGATTGACAGGCGGATCAGTGCAGCATCGGCAGTGATGCGGTCGCTGTATCAGACCATTGTGGTGAAGTGGGAGCTGAGTCGAAAGGCGAAGCTCTCGATTTACCGGTCAGTCTACGTTCCTGCCCTCACCTATGGTCATGAGCTTTGGGTAATGACCGAAAGGACAAGATCGCGGATGCAAGCAGACGAAATAAGTTTCCTCCGCAGGGTGGTTGGGCACTCCCTTAGAGATAGGGTCAGGAGCTCAGTCACACAGGAGGAGCTCGGGGTAGAGTCGCTGCTCCTCCACGTTGAGAGGAGCCAGCTGAGGTGGCTCAGGCATCTGTTTCGGATGCCTCCTGGACGCCTCCCTCGGGAAGTTCCGGGCACGTCCCACTGGGAGGAGGCCCTGGGGAAGACCCAGGACACGCTGGAGGGACTATGTCTCTCGGCTGGCCTGGGAATGTCTCGGGATCCCCCTGGAAGTGCTGAAGGAAGTGTGTGTGGAGAGGGAAGTCTGGGAGGCCCTCCTCAGACTGTTGCCCCCGTGACCCGAGCCCGGATAAGCGGAAGAAAATGGATGGATGGATGGATGATAGTATTTCATTTTTCAAGGGTACTTTAATAGAGTACTTAAAAAAAAAAACACACACATCACCTCTAGACAATTCTGCAGCTGGTATGACAGGTTCTTGTGTTGGCACACAAGGCATCTCAGTGCTACCTATCACCAACACCACAGTGTCTACTTTCTCTTCTATCTCGGAAATCTTCTGCTGAAAATGAGACTAAAAAATAGCAAAAAGTATGTATAAATATAAATATATAATCTACACTGTTATGATATAAAGCCCACCTTTAAAGCGAGAATATCCTCTCTCAAAGCAGTATTTTCTACAGTAAGTGAATCGATCAATCCTCGTTGCTTCTTCAATTCTTCCTCAAACAGTCTTCTTTCCAATGCAGCATTATGACACTTCTCTTGGTTCTGATGTGTCAAGCAACATATAGCAATCATTATGTATAAAATAAACAGAGAATGCATTACATTAGTTATTTACAGTACCTGCTTAAAGAGGTGCACCACTCGCCCTAAAGTTGAAACTAAAGCCACAGAAAACCCAGTGAGCCCTTTAGTCCTGTTTGGGGGAAGGCACTGATCTGATGTAGGGATTGTATCAGGACTAAAACCATCCAAGTCTGCCTCCACTTGTCCCAGCATGCACTGCAACAGACCCAGACTCGGCTGGTCTCCACTGAGAGAAGTGAAGGAAGACCCATCCAGCTCGGAGCTCCGATCAGCACATTTCTTAATTTTTCTCACTGAACTTTTGCTGCCTGGAAAACATGTGCAATGACAAAATGTAGGCTTATGATAGGATTAAATGTATTAATGAAATAAGTAAATTTGGAGATAAAACTACCTGACTGGTCTGTAGGATGCTCAGGATTGAGTACTTGAGAAATAAATTCTCCATCATTGCTCTCCATTCCCTGGCTACATGAGTGTCTGATCCGCTGGACAGCCACAGTGGCATTAAGAGCTAAAAATAATGACCAGCTAGATTAGTGCTGATGTGCCAAAGATACTTACACAAACACTATTATTCTAATTGCTTGTACCTTGTTGGCTTGGGCTCCTGCTGACTGTTTTGGGGGTTACTGAATTACTGTTGGCAGTCTGCTTCCTGACCACTTTTCTTGTGGTTCTTGACTTTATTTTGTGGATATTAGTTCTGGAAAGAAAACAACCCTGTAACATATTTAACTGCAGGGAATAACACATTATATTATATAATAGAGTGATACCTTCGTATGACATCGTAGTTTTGATCACAAACATCCTCATCAGAATATCCAATCTCATTAAGAGCCTGTGATAATTCAAACAATGAAAGCAACTTCAACATTTCACTGTAACAGTGAAGCTTTGTTAAGAAAAGCTAAACATACCTGTGGGTCCATCAGAGACTGACTAAGCAGTGAGAGTTCAGTGGGAGGATCTGGTTGTTGAAACACTGGAAGCACTGAGTCAGAGCTGCAGTTTGGAGCCATGGTTACACTAGGATGACCTAAAGAAACAAATATATAAAACTATTTCATGCATGTGCTGTTTCATACATGTACAATACAAACTTGCCAAGTACCAGTCTGTCTGCGGGGGGCATCTCCAAAAATGTCCTTGACAACAGACATGGCCCTATCAGAACGAGCTAGGACATCCTGCAGCAGTATCTGATCTGAGAGGACCTAACAATAGAAATGGGTAGGGAGACATACATTAGAATGCAAGCATATCAGACTGTCAGACACAGATCTTATTTTACACTAAGACAAATCCTCATGAACCTCTCTGATGATGCTGAGACTAGTCTGGTCCAGCGGTGATGGGCTCCCATGTCTAAGGCGACGTTTTAAAGCCTTCTCCCTGAGGTCCCACTGAGCTGAAACCTTGTTGTGTGACTTCATCATCTCATGCCTGTGATTCTAGAAAAACATGATCATCCATTAGGACCATGGATAAATCTAAACATAAATAAAGAAAAGATGAATCAGGATTTACTAGTTCTGCAGGTGTCAGCTTGTGGACGGTCAGGTCGTTTACTGTGCTCTAAAAAGATCAAATTTTACATAATCCAATGTTTAGCTGTTGTAATCCGATGTTAAGATGGTGTTTGATCCACATCAGCAAGAATACCCACCACCCATTCTTTCTTTGGAGGTGCTGTCTTTTTAGGCCGTATGATCCTTCTTCCTTTGGGCTGCTGCTGTTGTTGTCGCCCAGACCTTACAGATGACATCTGATTGAAAAGTTAACATATGTAAAATATGCCTAAATACACATAAAACATGGCTGATCGTAATTCAAATACAAACAACCAAAAACTAAAGTAAAAATGAGAAGATAGTTTTACGGGTGCACAACGCAGTGAATCCTACTTTAGTAAAACAAGTGTACCTTTTTTGCGATGTTTGGAAATGCAGAAGAAAAGAATAGCTTAGCAAATAGCTACTGAACGATTTCCATTGGTGTGTTTTGAGGCAGTTTTAAACTGTTGCGCGCCACTTCCTGTGTTGTTGCCACGGGACACCGCTTTACTGCAAGGCATTGTGGGAAAGTGAGTATAATACTGAATTCCTGGCTACACAGGAGGACGTACGTTTTTATTACGCTAACTTGACTACAGTTATAGGACATTATACATGTACATTGTGAGATTGTACACTTTTGCATGTTGTATAGTGCTCCTCCCCCTTTTATAGTATTGCTTTCGTGGGTCTCACACTCTGAGTGGGCTGGGCGCCTATTGACCATACGATGTTTTGAGCGTTTGCGGGGAATCAGCCACTAGATGGCAGCCTTATTACGCTGATAACGTCCCTCCTGGGGACCAGACATGTTTCTGCTGTTGAATATTCTGTTAAATTAATATACGGCATGTCGATAGACATTTTTGTGATTAATTATTGCCAAATGTACATCGAATTCGGGTTGCAATTTCTGTTTTCACATGATCTAACACTCATGCTTTGCTGACAGTTACAAATTGCAGCGATTAACTACAACAACATGTATAATGTCTAGACTCTAGAGAATCTAGATTAACCAGATCTCAAATAAAATAGCACAGCATTCTGATGTGCTATTTGCGTTTTGTATTTTTTTTAGGCTTGTGATTTTCATTTCCTAATGTACTACTTTTAATTGTTGCAATTAGACATTGTATTACGTGACAATTTTTTGAGTTTCTGGTTTTAATGGCAAGGTGAGGTTTGTGTTTGCATTTTACACGCCCCTTTTCTGACGCAGAAGTAGGAGAGACTCTGCGCGCTTTAGTTCAACCGGACTAGACTACCCCACAGTTGCTTCGGTGACATTTGACCGTAAGTGTGGGTCCCAAGCCATAAACGTGCCGGAGCGACTGCGACAACATTGGACATTGGCGGATTGTGGACTAATAGCAGCAACGCGCATGGATTTGGACTTGTTGCATATTTGACCAAGTCGGTACTAATTTGAATCAAGCAGATTCAGACATTTAACGCTGTATGTAGCCTACTTGGGGAGTTAAAAGAAATTTTTGCCTGCGTACTTTTGAAGACGTCTTGGATAATTTACACGGTGGAGCGACTTTGGGAACTTTACGCACGGAGAATACGCACAAACTTTAATAACAAATGACAGCGCAGTGGTGGTTTGTTGCTTCATCACATTGTTCCATTTACTTCAATAGTGCTGATACACTTCAGCAGCCGCCTATTCTGGTCAGACAAGGGGAGTGAAGGCCCTTGTGTCCCTCTGCCACCTGTCCAAAATGTGTGGTGGAGGCATATCCATGTCCCTCGCCATAATTGTCACTTTACTTTTGGTGATTATTGACGTAAAAGCCACCGGTGAGTATTGTCATGGCTGGCTAGACTCCCAAGGAGCGTGGAAAGAAGGCTTTCAGTGTCCGGAGAAGATAGATGCAGCGGACGCGATCATCTGCTGTGGAAAATGCGAGCTGCGCTACTGTTGCTCCAGCACGGACGCACGGTTGGACCAGGGCAGCTGCGAAAACGACCGGCAAACTCAGGAACCCAACACCGACAATAAAGAGAGCAAGGATTCGGGGGCAGGTATACAATGCTTTATTCACTTCTTCAAAACTTGCCAATGCTATAAGACTACCCTGACATTAACCATATAAAACAGACATGCGGAAATAACATATAGACTAGTTCGATTTATCAAAAAAAAAAGAAAGAAAGAAAGAAAAAAAAGAATTAATTAATTAATTAATTACACTTTCACATATTTTTTTTTCTACATCATTTACACAATAATTCATTATTTTACATTGCAGCAGGACTCTGAATGTGGAATGTTATCTTCAATTCAGGTCAATGCAGATTTTAACATCTTGTTATAGCATGAAGTTTTGACCCTGCTCCAACAGGCTCTCCTTGTGGTCATGTGGAAACCTTTGGACATGCTATTCAGACTTTAAAACTTGGTGTATTCATTGTACAAGTTATTTACATGTAAACGAACTACAAGTATCTTTATCAAGTCTCAATTTAACACTCTTTTACATGTAAATATATATTAAAGACTATGTCCCAATACAAAAAGATTAATCTCCTCCTGTCCACGTCCCGACAGCTGCACGGGACAGGAGACAGTAGTCGACTCCTCAAAAACCTGTACTCTCAAATGTCAATCTTGGTGCACTTTATAAATAGCAGTATTTGTTCAGGGCTGTAACAGACAGTGGAGGGCAGGGGCTTGGATCACTCAGTCCTCACGGGGATCAAATTTGGACTTGACCGGATCTTGGACAGTGGCACCCTGACGACAGCTCAGTCCATAAAACTCATGTATCATTTCCTACTAGACTCACTTTCCTGTTGGTGTTCCGTTAATGAAAGTCAAGTGGAGTCAGCGTGCTGGGTCTTGGCTTTAAGGGATTCATAGTCTAACCAGCTTCAAACAATATCCCACACATTCAATTTAATAGTGAAGAGAAAAGCAGAGTGCAACCCATACTTTTCAACTTAGCCATGGATTAGATGACAATACACTGTGTTTCCCTGCCACCGTCATCCTTTGCTTACATTCCCATAAGGTAATCTAGCATTAAGGCTGTTGGAGCAGAGAGAGAGATAACCGCAGTGGAGCAAACACTAGACATCAAAAGTGCAACTTCTATACTGTAGAGTTTATGCTTCCCTTGGGATGTTCCCTCCTTTAGGCCCCAGCTAAAATCTGTCATTTGCTAATGCTATCATGGCTTATCAAAGCAGGAAGAGGTATATACTTTTCATTCAATGGCTACCATCCAAAATAACTTTAAGCAAAAGCAGAATGAAAAAATAGGAGGTTCCCTGGGTTTAATCGGAGTGTTTCATTCATTTTTCTTAATCTTCCTGCCTATTAATCATCCCTCAAATATATACACTGATGTCATGTGAGTCAGAATATTATTATAGCATATGGTTTTTGGGAACAAGAGAATTCCTATGGGGATAACTGGGGGAGATGAGGGGAGAGTCCAGCCCAACCAGTCAGCCACAAAGACTTTGCCCAAAACAAGAGCTTAAGAGAGGGGGCTGCTGTTACTGCGACTCCACTGCAGGAACAGGTGTGGGAGAGTGACAGGGAACAATGGGAAAGCTCTGTTTTCAAATGCACACAACTGTCATGTGCTGAAATACAGGCTTGTGAAACACATTTAAAATAGACATATGCAAAGACATTTTTGCAATTTTAATTTATTCTCTTAAAGGTGCACTATGTAACTTCTTGCGGAGGGTCTGCTACCTTTTGTCTCCAGGAATGTTTGTTATTACTTTGCCTGAAATGCTCCACTGTAAGACTTTAAATACTACCTAAGATTTATGTTCATTGCTAAAAAAAAATAAAATATTGCTAAAATGAATTCTTACTGTTAGGGGGTTACCAGTCTACAGATCTAACTTGTCTGGTGGGACAGTCTGCTTGTCTCCAAAGAAGTAGATAAGTTAAATACCAACATGTAGACAAAGCAATAACATCTCCTTGCAATTCAGTCTTCTCTACATGTAAGTCCCATGTCAGGTAAAAAGTTTGTAAAAGAAAGGGCTTAAGATCTGTCTTAAGACTTGAATCAAATTGCTAAACAAATCACAGCATTTTTTGAAGATTTGTTGTAACGGCCTCTGATTGAATATCACACAGAATAATCATCCATGCAGAGCAAAAACAGGTGGAGACTGGGGAAGTACAAAGGGACGGACATTTTCTACTCTTTGTAACTTATCCGTGTTGTCATAACAGTTGGTGAGATCCTGTTATAACCTGTTTATCATGTGCTGTGTAGCTTTAAGCTATAAGTTGATGGCGTGAAAACTAAATGGGTCAAGATACCATTTTACCCATCGTCTCGCCCTCCTTTGCCCCTGGCCTATGTCTTTTGTCACCTCTGCTCAGTGCGGCTGCCACTGAATGACCTCCAGCTCCGCCACAAGTTTGATGCTGTAATCCACTTTAATACCAGGCTCCAATGGATGAGCATTCTCAGAGGTTTCTCAAGGCCGTGGATGTATTTCAAAGAGCGGGACACAAAGAGAAACTGGAGTCATTTGCCACCTCGCTTTGGCATACAGTTACAAACCTTTACGCACAGGCATCGTTAGTAGAAACTAGCTGTAACCCTTGGGGAACAATAAAAAGTTACACATGAAGTGCAAAGGATCGAATGTGTTAATGACAGGGAAAAGGATGGTAAAAAGTGTAGACTCTTACCTAAGCACTTCTTATATTAATAAGGACTTTTATTTGTGATTTTTACTGATTTTGGATGGATGGATTGTTTCTTTGGGAGTGGTCAGTCAGTTGGTAGTTTATTTCACTTTCTGTTTGCAGCTGTCATCGCAGCTCATGTGCACACCACTAAGTTACATATAGTAACTGATCCTGAAGGCTGAGGTATAAAAATGCCAAGGGTTGTACCTGCTTAGTATTACAAATGTGCAGCATGTGACACTTCCACTGTAGAAAATAAATTATTACAAGTATGTTTTGACATAGCAGATAAAAAAGAAAAGGTCAGAAAGGAATAGTTTTGCCTCATTTGATTTAATGGCTGAATAACCTTACATTCATACACATTAAATCAACCAACGCTAATACTTTCTTTAAGCAGAAGCCAAGTACTGTAGCTCAATTTGACAAAATCATTTTCAAAGGGCTGCACATAAATAGCAATAGAAAAGGAAGGGTCACAAATATCTGTCACACACACATGTTGGGTTTCCATGCATCTTGAGGACATTACATAGACTTACATTAATTCCCTGGAAACTGACCCTAACCTTAACCATAATTACTACTTCACTAACCTTAACATACTGTATTTAACCAGCATTTGAATTTAAGACTTTGAGCTCATAATGATTGATTTAGTTCATGGGGAGCTGATGTTTGTCTCTATAAGGTCTTATGTATTGAATGTGTATACAGATTTTAGCTACTACAATCTAAACACAAGCCTACATGTTATCAGGGGAACTGGGGTGGACTAAGGAGCAGCAGGGGGCAGGATTAAAACAGATCAAAACAAAGTTAATAGTTGCTAATGAGAGGCTAGCGCTCCTTGCAGTCCCTGACTGATTTTCCTCCTTCATCTCGTGTCCAAACACTCCTGTGCACGTTTGCTTTTGTTTCACTGTCTCCCCCCATCACCGCTCGCATGCAGGAGCTTAGCCTGTTCTCTGGTTCAGGTGATTGGTATTCTTTTGAAAGTGAAAAACAACTAAGTAATACTAATCCATGAGACATAACTATAGTGTTAAGTATGGCTGTCAGAAAGTACAGTCACACCAACTAATACTACTCATGCAAGCAAGATGGGTGAAGTACCTTGCCCATGGACACAAAGATAAAAAATAGCAATAAATATGAATAGAAATAAAAGATAGTCAATAGCATAGGTGAAATTTTGCCAGTACACGTTTTTGTTAATTATTTATGCTCTTCTTTTTCTGTTGCAGTGCCCATCTACGTCCCCTTCCTCATTGTGGGCTCAGTGTTCGTTGCTTTCATCGTAGTGGGGTCCGTGGTGGCAGTGTGTTGCTGCCGCTGCCTCCGTCCCAAGCAGGAGCTGTCGTCAGGGGCGACGGGAGGCGGGGCCAGCGGGGGGCGCCTGTTGGAGACCATCCCCATGATGTCCAGCACCAGCACCTCCAGAGGCTCATCGTCCCGTCAGTCCAGCACGGCCACATCATCCAGCTCTTCTGTCCCGGCCACTGCCCCCCGCCCCGCGCCTCCTCCCCTCATGAGGGCTCAGGCATCCTGCTGTCTGCCCCCTGACGCCAGTGTCTTCGTCAACATGCCCACCAACTTCTCTGTGCTGAACTGCCAACAGGCCACGCAGATAATGCCTCATCAGGGACAATTTTTGCATCCACAGTTTATTGGCTACGCTCACCCTGTTTCCCCTACCCCCACGTTCATCGACTCACAGGGGGGGTATAGGCAGCTTCAGTCCCCCCTCCCTCCACCCAATATGGTATCCAGTGTTACCAATGACCAGAAGTTCCCCCCAGTTACAGTGTGAGGGGCTACAGTTGTTTCATAGACCTCTAACATGAAGGACTTGTGTATAAAGCCATTATGTGTAGAGTGAGACTAAACTCTGCTCTATATTGTGCCTGTAACTATGGACAAAATTCAGTCTTGATTCATGGGAAATACTGGGGTCTAATGCAGACTACAGCCCAAACAGTCCAAAAGTGTGAGTGCGTGACGATGTGGGAGTATGAAAAAAAGATTTGTTGGCTCATGGCTGTAGTGTGAGTGATGACTGAATGATTTATAGCTCTAAAATGTACTCAGAGTGAATATTCAAGCCCAAAAACGTTATGACCACATGCTGTGCTAATGCCATGTGCACATCTGCACTTGTGAATGCACGTGAAGGGGTATGTTTTTTTTGACGAATGAGGAACAAAAACATGCTAAAATGTTTGTAATGTACGGGTCTGGATGTGGAGCCTTGGCCTGAAGGGGGGTCTCCCTGTGAGTGGACTGTGTGTAATGCAAAATGCAGGTGGTGCGATGTGAAAGGCAGTTGCCATTTCCCTAAAGACCATTTAAAGTCTAATGAAGTGAGCACAGGACATAGACTGTGACGCTCCACCCCACAGCTCTCCAACCAAAAAGTTTTTTTTTTAAAAGTGTCCCACTGCTCTGAATGGAAACATCAAACCAAATGTTCATGTACATGTTGGGAGGAAATGTACCTATAAAGTGAGACAGTGAGTGAGTAGGGCGATTACTACAGATTAAACCTAATTAAAGCAACTTTGACTACCCCAACCTTTGATGCCAGGTGTGTGCATGTGTATCCAACACTCCCACAGTTGAGTGACTTAGCTGAGAGCATAGGCTGGGCACCTCTGAACCAATGTAAAAATTTAGAGGGCAAGGACACTACTTGGATGGTAGAAATTGTGCAAAACTGTGGTTTTGGTACTCTTCAGTGCAGGGACAAGTCTTTAAAAAAAAAAAAAAAAAAAAAAACATTACCGCTCAAAAAGTACAAAATGATTAAAAAAGTCTTTATTACCTACCTGCAATATGAAAAATGGTAATAAAGACTTTTAATTTTGGGTGCGCCTCATTTTTTTTTTCAACTTTACATCTGAACTAATATTTCCAGGAAAAGGTGAACAAAACCAGCTCAATATTTGAGGCCATGTTATACACTGTTAGGCAGCAGGGATTTGTGACTGCTAACTCTGTAATAATGTTCCATTGAAACCTGGCAGTCTGTGTACCTCATCTGTCCCCCAAACACATTGTCTGAGGCAGCTGTGAATAGGATAAGCATTTCTGTATAATGTTGAGAACACCATGTGGTCCAACTTTGCCATGGACCTGTTGCTGAAGTTTTTATATAAATTAAAAAATAAAAGATTTTAAAACAGGATTTCAGGGTTTTACAAATTATTTTTTACAAGTTAAGTATTCTTTGACTTTCTGTAATCTATGAGATGAACAGGTTTGAACCACACACAGTTAAGCCATTACAAACACTAATTACACACTCGGGCAGACAGCTACCACCCACTGAGGACAGGAGAAAATACCTGTCACATCACCTGGAGCATGAAGGGGAACAATAGACCACTACAATACAGCTTAGGTCCATACGACATCTTTAATCTTATGGAGGCTGAGTTGGCAGGCTACTTCTTAAACTAATGTGGAACGCTGGGAGCGAGTGGGATGTCTCTCCGTCTCTTTAGCCCAATGGATTCTCCATACTGAAGCAGCTGCAGTCGTCCAGGCTGGTCTCCGTCCAGGAAGGTGGGTGGGAACAGGATCTCCAGCTGAAGTCAAGGGAATCGGGCCTGTGCAAACTAGCTGTTGGGTTATGTTTGCACTACAACTGTCTAGAGAGAAGTGTGGGAGAAGGTTTTATCTGATAATATGAGTATCATGTAACTCATAAAATCACTGCTTGTTAAATTTCAATTGAAGCTCATCGTGTGGTTAAAATAATATCCAATTTAAGTCCCTTTCCTGCACAGTTTTCTAGAGTTGAGCTAAAAAAAAACACAAATATACAGTAGGTCACATTGATTGATTAAATTTAATAATTAGGAATTGGATGGACATCCACCTCCCATCCCCTTACATCTCCTTTAGTGTTCATTCTTCAACAGGCAGCAGCTAAACAATGATCTCCAGAGTGAGACAGAAACACATGATGCAGAGGGCCTATTAGCCTATTAGCACAAATTCAAGTAAAATATTCCCTCCAGGATGTGTCTGAGTAGTACAAAAACAGGCATTATTCAAAAGAGACAAACTTATAAACACATACAGATGTCCATTTAATAAAAAATAATTTAATAGGGAATCCAGGAGAACCAAAAATGAGGAAGCCTCATAACGATGCAGCGTCAGTAATCACAGGAGTGGTCACAGAATAAAATAAGTGTTAATGTAGAGGTCTAAAACTGGCCAGCAGATGAGCAGCATGTTGAGACAGAGGTTGGTAGAGGTTGCTCCTGTGTAGAGTATCGAGGTCCCAGAGGGGTAGGAGGGGGCCAGGATGGGGGTCTGGTCGGCGTTCTGCCTCAGTGACATCTTTGTAGTGTTTGGCAGTGAGGCTCGCTGCTGTTATGGGACAGAGGGCTCCAGCCATCTTCATGTCCATGTTCCCTTCTTATTTAAAAGGATGATGTGCCTTCATGTCTGCGAGTGTGTGTGCGCGCATGCTGGATCAGACAACAGTTCATTATGGTGTCAACACATGATGACAATTTATTTTAAAACAAACTTCACAAGATGAGAGGCTCCAATGGAAGTACACATGACAGACAGCGGTATATGCGTGCAGACACTCATGCGGAGAGAATAATGCCCCGCACAGACACACGCAGACACTTAAGGGACCAGTTTGTGCGTAAATATGAGAAGCAGTCTCTTGGCTTGACTTATGTTGGTGTATGAATAGGATTGCTCATGCCAGTGCAGCTCATGTAACATAAAGGATAGGATATACTTTTTCCTTCTCTCAGATCAGTCCTCCATGCTCTGCGATGGCCTCTGCGTCTGACAATCTGTTCTGAGGTCAGTTCATTGTCCAATAAGGCCACGGCAGGGTCAGTCACTCGGCGGGAAGCTGACGTTTGCAGTCTGATGTCGCCGGGACATGTTGCTACAAAGCAGGGGAGCAGGTTAGATGCTCGGGCGCTGCTGTGTGGTGTCATAGGAGCGCACCACCTGGGATTGGGACACCACACCATGCTCCTCCTGAGAGAAGGCATACCCATCTGAAAAAAAAAAATACTAGAATTTAGCCTGATAGAGCTGAGTGGACTTTGTTTCAACTGTTCAACTTCATAACTGAATATGCTTGTGTTTCTAGAAGTAGGATTTCAAATACTAGTCATTAATTATAGTATAGTAACTGGGGTTGCATGTGTGTACCCACGTGACACAGTCTGCTGCACCGAGTTGGAGCGTCCCATGTTTGAAGGTGTTTTTCTAAATACTCTTGTCAGCAGATGGGCCCGTTCGTTTAGACTGTAGATAGAGAACAAGATGAGGTTCACATGACACATCCATGACACCCATTACACAAACTCAATAAGACACTCTCTGTAGATTTTCAACAGCTAACCCATTTAACAAAACCAGACACAACTGAGGTAAAGTCTAGTTATCCTAGTACTTCTATATATATATATTTACACTTGAAATTTTCAAAAGAGCAGAAGAACGTTGGTATCTTTTTATTCAACTGCAATGATATCCCGGCAAGAAAAATAAATCATCTACCAAGTACCAACAATATCTAAGTTGTATCTAAAAGTATCTGTGGCTTAAAATTGATTGAAATGACATTTGCTGTTCAGAGAAACACCAAGGACTGGGAGCATTTTACGAGACTTTAAATCTTTAAGCATTTGGCCCGTACAGTGAGTCCCAGGATGCAGTTTCTAACCGAACACCGGGTCATAAACGGCTGCAGTGTAACAGCCCCTCTCTCTGCCCTCTCCCTCTTTCCAAGAAGAAGACTGGATCCTCTGTTCGGGACCACACGCCGTCATGGCTCCTCTCCTCTGTGACCAAAAATAACTAAGGCCTTTCCAGATATTACACTAAAATACATGCGTGCAGCTTAACACATACTGTATACTGACTACAGGACCACAAACACTGGTACTATAGTGGGGTCATTGGCACCGGATACAAGCAGAAACTTTCTTTGTGGCATGCCATGGTGTCTTCTTCTACCCTTTGCATATTTGCCAAACTGTCATGTGTCCGAATAAGATAAAAAATCAAAGAGGCTATGATACAGGGGCTTGATACTCTGATCATAGAGTTTGTAAGCTTTCTCAAGCCTAGGGTTCGTATACAGCTGTTCAGAAATTTGTACTGGTGTAAGTGGCTGCCTGGGAGCTTCACTTCTGTTTGTAAAGGAAAACTCAAGTTTGCATAAGGAGTCTGCGGCCAAATAAAATGATGCCATGATTGATGAAGGCAATGAGTGAACGATAAAAGTCCAAAAACCGATGAAAAAATATTAAGTATGATGGATCTATACCTTTGAGATTTATTTACTTTCCTTGAAGCACATCCTGAACCTATCTTCGCTATTTTTCCCAAATATTCCCGGGAATTACAAACACAGATGTGTCTTTTCCCTAATGCCCTGCACCTATCCAATACTGCTGACTCTAACCCAATAAGACTAAGACGCTCCCTGTTCTTGCAATGTTTTTAAATACTGGGTCGATTCAGGTCGGGTCTGCTTATTGGGTGAGGGTCAGGGGAAGAAGGGTACACACCAGTACTAACCAAAACCACATAATAGATGACCTGACTGAAATACAAGACATTGCTAATATGCTAATGACACTACAAACAGGGCTAATTCAAGAAGAGAAAAAAAATTAAAACAAACCAGGTTGGTACAGCAGTTCAAATTGATCCAGCTATGAGGATATTAATGAAAGTGAAATAAGATGTATAAGATAGTATGCAACATAGATTTAAAATGTAAATTAGGTCAATGATGCCTCAGAGACAAAAGTTACATTACTGCTTAGAAAGGGCAAAGGAGATCAGAGGTCACACAGCATGACAGTTCAAACCAGAAACTACCTCTCTAAACATGTGACAACTTTTGCCTCTAGGGAACAGCTGCTTTGGGATCAGTCCTGTAGCGCCACCCAAAATAAAATACAATTCTTACATAGAGAATTGATGTTATTAGACATTAAACAGGCATAAATGGACTGTCCACACAGTTTATACCTTCGGCCACTGGCATCCCTGAGAACAGCGGCCCCTGGGTCCACAGCTCTGGCCTCTAACTCCTGCACTTCCTCGAGTAGGGACTTCTTCACAGTGCGCCGCGTGCTGCAAAGTCAATGCACTCATCAAACCAATGAAGGAAAGTCTGAGTGCTTGCAGACATATGTGATTCATAATAGTGTGCGTAAGTGTTGACACCAGCTCAATAAGGGTTATGTAAACCTTTTGGTCAAGTTAAAAAGCCTGTATATGGATTTCTTATGTATTTATGTGAAATGTGTTGTACTTACGCGGTCCAAGCAAAGTCTTTGAGTAAACATGCAGTAGGCACTAGAATCAGGCCCAGCCAAAAGTGCCAGCACTGCATCACTCTGCCAGCCTGCAATGACAGCACACAGACTGCTTTTATTAAGAAGAAAATTCATTTAAATCCAGCATTAAGTCATGCTTCTTCACTGTGAGAACATCTGGTACAAGCAAGGGAAAATGCCACACAAAGCACATTTATACAAAAAGGAATGTACATTTCCAAACTAAACATGAACTATTCAGCAGATTTAGCTTCAGGTGACAGTTAAACGTAATATCGATACTATCAGATAAAATGACCAAGTTAAACTAATCCACACTTGTTTCTGACATACTGCTACAGCCAGACGCATTGACCTTTAACCCTTGTTTTAGGGCAGTCTCCAGGGATTAATCTCTCCTCAGTTTGACAGTCTCAGTGTCTCCTTGACTCAGTTTTGTTTCTATGGTTTGGCACAATGTCCTTTCAGTCACAGTTATACTTATTATTACTGCTACTACTGTTCTGTTTCAACTACTTCTACTACTTCTTCTACTATTCTACTAACTTATTATTGCAACGCTTTTGTTATAAGATCGATTTCATTAATCAATTTGTTTTCATGGTCTTCATTTTAGTAACTCACCTAATAGACTTCACTGACACATGTTAGGATGTTTATTCAATGAATTCACGTGTGGGTTTGGGTTGTAAACTTTTGAGTTTTCAACAGGAATTAATGAAATTTGACCTAGGAAGACCTTACATTCCCCTATGCAATACCTGACAGTTTTTTAAAAATCACTGAAGCTTCAATTCTATGGTCCATGGTGTTAGGATTAAACCAGGCCAAATTCCTTCATTCACATTAGATCTTCTGCTTTACTACTTTACAATAAGCACAAATCAACTGCATTCAGTGGACAAATGGACTGACGTTTTCCATTCGCTGTCGCCTGTGGACAGATGGATATATAGATAGACGAGGCAGGGGAATAAGAGAGGTAATGGGGTAGTTAAGGGGATGATGGAGGGAAGTGGCTGAATGTCCCAGACCACTCCCCAGTTAGCCTAAAAGCAGCTGCATAGATATTTGACCGCATTCCTGATTTCTGACACAAATTGAATTAATGGGCAGAGAGTTTGAGATGGCCCAGATCCCTGTTCTCCTTCTCAGTGGGGCACTTTGCCTAAACCTTGGTCTCCCCAAATGAGTCTCAATCAGGGAGATCCGCTCCTCTCAATCTCCTAGGACCCTCATCATGACCGACAACAGCCCACCCGCTTGAGTCAACACCTCGGCACAGGGCAGTAAACGACGGGGCTCGGGTGACATGCGGCAGGTGCAGGAAGCCTGGGGAGAGGGGCTGCTGGAGCATAAATCTCCCTGTGAATCCTGCAGGACAGATGAGGAACACCCAAGGAGGTGTGTCAAACAGGCGCCATGCAGAGGCAACCAAAACGAGCAGGTGATGGAGTCTGAGAGAGAAATGTCGTGAGGAGGGCTATTTTAACCCTCTCCACCTCTATGGGCTGTAATGAGTGACACATGTAAAGAAGCACACTTGCCTGT